CTGCGCCAGGGTGGTTTCCCTTTCTAAATACAGTTTGACAGGGTCTTTGTAGTGTCATATGCGTTTCAGGTGAACTCTGCACAGGTGTGTTCACTCAGCTGTTTTTTCCACTCGGTTCCTTTATGATACTGTAGCAATTGCTGAGTCAGGCAGCGAGAGATGGGGAATTTTTGCTGATATAATAGACGATTGCTCTGAGGTTAGTGAGAGCTGTCTGACAAACCTTAGGTATTAAAGCAAGTAGCCATACAGTTATGTGACAGGTTAATGCTCTAAAGCATTACGTACAACCAGCTTAATTTGCTTTTTACACACTGGTTAAGTTTTTGAAGGGGTTACAGTTTTTGTGTTTGTATTGTGTTTTGATTCCCAGAATGGATTGCTTTACTTAATAGTCTACTGGAAATCATAGACTCATAGAATCATTAAGGTTGGAAAAGACCTCAAGGATCATCAAGTCCAACCCAACACCACCTAACTCACTAAACCATGTCCCTAAGCACCACATCTAAATTTTTAATGCTAAAATTTTTCATTGAAAACAAAGGCAAGCGGGAAATGGATGGGATTTATAAAGCATCCTTTTTGAACCACCATTTCAAAGTTTAACAAAATCATATTAATGATAAACTTCAGCTTTATATTTAACATGATGTCATCCTAATTTCAAGCTATGGGTCAATGTAGCTATACAGATATTTTAAACATAATTAGGAATATGAGCTGATCATATGCGTTGAAATATTTTTTTCCAGCACTCAGTAATGCAGAATCAGTGTATGAAATCTTCCATCGGTATTTTGTATAAATGCCAACACCATGGCTAAAAAACCCATGCACTTCAGGCAGGCTAAATAAACATGAAGGCTTTAAAGGATCTTTTTAGGTTAGGAGTTACTGCCACTCAGTTAACCCCAAGATCAGCAGTGAGGCATCCTGTGTTTCATAGCAGCAGTTAATTACAAAACATTGCCTAATAATAGATACTATGGATAATTTTTTTCATAGTGAAATTAATGCATTTTGTCATGATTGATTTATGTGAGGCCATTTTGCACTTACTAGTTTTGCTTAGAAATGTGAAAACTAACATCAGAAGAAAAATTTTGAATTCTTTCTAGGTCTACCAACAATTTTTTAATTGCCTAGATAATAATTCCACCTGCCAGAATTTAGGAGCTGTATTACTACTTTTAGGACTGGTAGGACTCTTATATAGTCATGTAGTAAGTACTAATTCTGATTTTTATGAAACAGTATGGTATTCAGAAGTATTTTCATAGGACATTGCCATGGCTTTTCTATTTTTTGCATTGTTTCAAAATCTTTGGCGCTAGCTAAGATATTCCTCTGATTATATCTTATTTTTCTTAATTAAGATACCTTCCATTCTGCTGAGGAAAAACTATAATACCACTTTGGAACAGTTTTGCAAGAATATAAATTTACAAAACAGTATGTAGATTATTATTGCACATGGCAAAACAAAATATAATGTTGACTTTAAAAGGAGTGGTTTTGTTGTGGTTTGTTTGGTTCATAAGGAAGGCGGTCCTCTCATTGATTTTCCCCATTTGTTTCCATGAGCCACAAAAATCCTGACACACCTTTACTGTAGAAGGATAAAAATACTGGTGCTGTTGGTGCTCATATGATCGAGACTGGCATTGGTAGGGAACCAAGATGATTCTGATATCTTCAGGAACTCTAAGCAGATAGCTTTGCCCTGTCTGATATTTTCTCCATTGAATGACAGCTTCATTTTTGATGACCAAGCAAAAGAAACAACACTAGAAAGACTGTCTTCCCAGAAGCCTGATGGATGGATTGTTACTTTTAAGGCAACGTGAAGGAATTTTTTTAATCTACTTTTAAGTGACAATGTGTAGATCTTTCCAATCCTCTATTGAAATCTATACTGTGCTAGGTTGGTACATGTAAATACTGAATTACAGATGATGTCTGGTAGCCAGGCTACTATTTAAGCATCTTTTGAACTTTACAGTATAGTTATATAGTTAACGTTCATCACAAGAGTTTTATAAGCTGTTGATTTTGTGCAGTGAGAAAAGCAACGTCCCAGTACTAATGTATTCAAGAGAGAATTTTATAGCGTTTTGTTTCTATGCTATAAAACATAAGTAAACATCCTTGATGAACTTGTCTGAAGGTACAACACAAAGCAAATAGACTAGGATGTGGTTTTTGTAACTGAAGGACAGACAGAACATCCATGTTCTTAGTTATGTGAAAAAGAGGTGTGGGAGTTTCTATTGAATGTTGAGAGCAAAGGTGATGTTGAAATGCATCAGTAACCTGGGAATTAGTTACGGGTACAAGAAAACTGTCACAGAATACTCTATACGAGAAGGCTTCATGTGCTTGAGATGAAGAGGGAACAGTTTTGAATGGGATTGACTTGAAGAATATTGAGCAGAAACTAGAGACTAAGACACAGTCAGAGGAACATAACATTGCAATTCCTGCTATTGAAGTTGAGCATTATTGACAATGGTTAGTTGGTAATTTATATAGTTAAAATGAAGTTATTGAATATTTTTGATAGGAAGAGTGAGTAGAAGGAAGTAGCAGAATTTAGTAAGTGCTTACATAGGTAGTAAAAACAAAAAGTTGGAGTCAAAGTGGTGTCAAAATTGTTTGACAGGAAGACACTAAGAGATGTGAGAGTGGTGGAGACTTTTTAGTAAGACATTGAACAAACAAGGAAGATGTGTATTAAAAAAGATTGAGAAGGCAGGAGCAGATCATCTTATATATCAGAAGATTAGAAGGAAACGTGTTTTACGTGGAAGGTTGAAAGGTGAAGATTAGTTTCCTTACTCATCTGTTACTTAACTGGTTTTGGGTATTTTTAGAGAAATTTATAGAGCTCCATCTTGTACTGAAGCCCTGAACCTCGTACTTACTTATATGAAATACTCTTTTGTTGCAGGTTCGCTAAGTATAGAAAAACAGTCTTGAAAATGTTGTCCAGACTCTTTAGAATGCATGGGCTTTTTGTAGCCTCTCATCCATGGGAAGTCATTGTGGGAACAGTGACTCTCACCATCTGTATGATGTCCATGAAGATGTTCACTGGGAATGATAAGATCTGTGGCTGGAACTATGAGTGCCCCAAACTTGAAGAAGTAAGGATTTAAATTAATGTGTTTACTGGTAATCAGTAAATCCAGAGTTTTCTGTAGAATAGGATCAGGTCGTGATGTATTAGGAGGAAAGCAGCTATGCAGAAACTCCTTTATTGCCTTATTTTCTGATTGTCGATATTAAAGCTGTATGCAAGCAGTGATGAATTACAGAAGGTTTTCATTAAATCTAACTTTCAGTTGCACAGTATCTAGTGAATAAGAATTTTATATTAATATCATTTGCAATATTCTAATTTTTAAGCCAGACTAGCAGACGTACTTATTTCATTCTGAAACTTTATTTTTAGTGCAGCTTCACAATGGACTTTTCTATTACTGAAACCTAACAAGTTACTACTTAATGGAAAAGCTAACTAAATAATTTTGTATTTCAAACAGGATGTTCTCAGCAGTGACATCATCATACTGACAATCACGCGCTGTATAGCAATCCTTTATATATATTTCCAGTTTCAGAACCTAAGGCAGCTTGGGTCAAAATACATTTTAGGTACTGTATCTGATTTTTGTATTTTTTCTATGCATTTTAATTGATTTTTTAAAATATAAATTGGTAATAAATATTAGTTTTAGTACTTATGTAGAGAACAGGGTTATCTTAATTATTTTCTGCATAGATCAAAGTGCAATTTTTTTTTAAGAGGTTGCGTAGGATTATATAGACACTGGCAGTTTAATTCATAAAATAATGGCTTATTGTGTGAAACACTTAAAAATATAGAGCTGTTTAAGCTAGTTTTCATTTTTTCTGAGAATGAATGAGAGGATTTATGGTTTTTACTTCTTAGAGTCTTACTTTGAATGCAGTACAAATTTTAGATATCTATAAAAATAGGATGTACTTCAGTTTGTATCTCAACTGCCATTAATGCACTCTGAGAGAGGAGAATTGTTATTTGTTTGCTTCAGGGTTGATCTAAAGGTATAGTTTTTCTTTTTCCTTTTTTTTTCCCTTCTCAATATATATAAAACAAAAATTTCAAATTTTTTTTTTTTTTTAAAGGTATTGCTGGTCTCTTTACAATCTTCTCAAGTTTTGTTTTTAGTACAGTGGTAATTCACTTCTTGGATAAAGAACTGACAGGTTTAAAGTAAGTAATGAGTTGTTATACTGGCTTTCTTGCTTGATTTTTTTTTTTTTTTCCCCCTGTACAATAAACCTTGACTTTTAATGTATACCTCTTTCTTTCAGTGAAGCTTTACCATTCTTCCTGCTTCTGATTGATCTGTCAAGAGCAAGTGCATTAGCCAAATTTGCGCTCAGTTCCAACTCACAGGTCAGGGGGTTTGGTTTCTTTTTGTTGGTTGATTTTTTGGCTTTGGGTTTGTTTGGTGTTTTGTTTGGTGGTGGGTTTTTTTCCAATGGAGCTTTTGAATTTAATGTTTAATGTTAAAGATGAACATTCTCCCATAGCAAGGGTGTTCTAGTTCAGATGATCTTTAAGGTCCTTTCCAAGCTTAACCATTCTATGAATAATCCAGATGGAGAGATATTCAGGTGAATACCCTATTGGTGATAAATAAAAAGGAAATTAGTGAAATTAATTTATACCTACAAAATACTGTACATGGTAATTGCACAATTGTACTAATTGTGACAAAAATATTGTGTATTTTAATAGATTGCATATTAGAGTATATTGCACATTCTCTCTATATATACAATTGTGGTGGGTTACCACTGTTATTACAGTGTGTTGTATATTATTTTATAATAATTGTGAGTTCAGAATTTTTTATTCATTTTGAAGAAAGTGTTTCACAAATCGGTTTTATCCCCTTCTCCCTAAAACCACCACCAGCAAATAAAACAGCAGCAGGCCCTCTAGAGTGTGCTGTGCCTGGCTTCTGGAGGAAATCCCTTTTCCCCCAGGGGGAAAGTTTTAGTGTCTTTCATGTCCTCTTTTTTTTGTCAGCTGAGTCTAGAGAATTAAATAATAAAATAAAAAAACAATGAAAGGCTACAGATAGGGGGTTGCAAGAACTTTTGAATGCCATGACGTAAGCGGCTTCTGTTTTGTGTCTTAATGTGTAGAAGTCTTGTTCTTCTGAATGTACTTTAATTAAAGACTGCCCATCAGTGTTGCAGGAGCTTAGAATACCGATGACCCAAAGCTAGAGAAATTAATCAAAATTAAATAATCTTGTAAATAAAGACTGTCAAAGTATAATAACTTATGGGAAATAAAGCAAAGAATGTGTTAAAGAATGTATTCTCTTATAATAGTTAATTTTCAGTGTAGGTTTACAAGGCCTTATCACCATAATAATACTTAATTTATTGATAATTTTATGTATACTCCCTTAATTTGATTTTTGTCTTTATGTTAATACGGAAATTTTTATTTTCAGGATGAAGTAAGAGAAAATATTTCACGTGGAATGGCAATTTTAGGGCCTACGTTTACACTGGATGCACTTGTGGAGTGTCTTGTGATCGGTGTTGGTACTATGTCAGGTGAGTGATAAAGTCTAGGGGTCTTTGCAGTTAAAAAAGACTATTTCAAAGACATTGGGATATTGAGAATTTGAAATAATAGGTGTTGCCAGTGAGAGTGGAGTGACTATTTATTTAGCTATTTATTTACCCTCCTAATTAGCCTATATTGCTAGTTTCCTGAAGATACGAATAATATGTACACGTTGAAGAGAAGTTTGAAATGCAGATAACAGCTTTGCTGGAGCATTGTGCAGTAGAAATGGATTTCCGTGCAGCTGCTTTTATAAAATTAAGACCTTCTGCCATTCCCATAATTCCTGTTAACACCTTAAGGGAGCTGCTAAAATTTTCTATTCGGCATTCTTAAAAATGAGTTACACTTTCAGTACGTGCACACCTATTTCATAGTCTTGCAGAAAATTAGTATTTGTAAAATTTTCTCCAGGTGAAGAAGGTTATTATAGTTCGATTTAAAATAACCTATCTTTTACTTTTTTTTTTTCCCCACTCCACCTTTTGGTCTTCATCAATTCTGTGTGCAGTAGCACTTGCCTTTCCGTAAAAAGAAAACAAGCAAATACAATAAGCAAAGGATTTTCATATGTAAATAACTAGTTTCTTTGTAAAATAAATTGAAGTTCCATAGTTGGGACTAAAGTGGGTTTTTGCATGTTTTGTTTTTGTCTGTTGGTTTTTATGTGTGGGGGTTTTTTAAACTATCTTGCTTACCTTAAAGGCATCTTTCAAAGCACTTGCTTTTCAAATTGTTTTGGACCTTTTTAGGGTTTTGTGTATGAATAAGTGGTTTTCCTGTTTACATCTAGGCAGAAAACGCTCACTTTGGTGTGGCATATAGTTGACTTTTTAAATTACTATTATTATTATTATCTATACTGTTAATTCTTTCATCTTTACTCAGACCGTTCTGTAATGCATGTGCAACATGCCTAATTGACTTTTTCAGTATAGCAGGCTTGTGAAAGAGTAGGTGGGTTATATACTGTTCATTACTGCCTAAACACTTAATTGTCCATCTTTCAAAAGGGATCTCAAGATATAATTGTTCTTTGCTTAGGTGAGGAGTTTAAAGCTTTCAGTGTGAAGCTTTAAAATCTTGGTGAACTGTAATTATTTGTATTTATTTAGAATTTCACTTTAAAAGGTTTCCGTAAATACCATACCATAAATATATATTGTGCTTAGAATAAGCTAATACACAATGACTACGGCTTAACATGCTTGTTTTTCATTAATTGAAACAGTTCCTTCTGTAATCTGCAGTGTCATTTTAATTCCTTCTTTCTTCTGCAGCATTTCTTCAGGTATATAGAAAGCCTATTTGCATATTCAAATGTAAAAGATTTCTTTTTTTTTTTGTAGGTGTACGACAGCTTGAAATTATGTGCTGCTTTGGCTGTATGTCTGTTCTTGCCAACTACTTTGTCTTCATGACCTTCTTTCCAGCGTGTGTGTCCTTGGTATTAGAGGTAAGACCAAATTCAAGACAACATCAAGCTTAGCATTCAGACCCGGTGCTTCTTGTAGGGTATATGTTTCTTCACGGAGTTATATGCCAACACGTTTGTCTTCCTTTCAAAGTGAACAGAGGGAGTGTGCAAAAAAGAGTTATGGTGCTTCAGCTAGTAACAGTAACCTGCTAATGCCACTGTGAATGAGTCACACTCACTCGTATGAGTTCTGATCTAAAGTAGAGTAAACAAATTATATTGTAAAATTATTGCAGATTAATGGCTGTCCAGGCTTTTTAACTATTTGAGGTCTAATGTGGGCTAAATAGCCTAATAGACTGTAGGCTAACTTTTGGTGGTAATTTCTCAATGATCAAATAAAAATAAAAAGTTGAACCTCACTTGTTAGTTCTTCTCATATTTACTAAATAGGACTTACTTTTAAATTTTGTTACTCTTGCAGCTTTCAAGAGAGAGTCGTGAAGGGCGCCCTATATGGCAGCTTAGCCATTTTGCTCGTGTTCTGGAAGAAGAAGAAAATAAACCAAATCCTGTAACACAGAGGGTCAAAATGATTATGGTTTGTGGCTCTTTTTCACCTGTGATTATGCAATCAGTAAGGTGTCCTGGTGCAACAAATAAAGCTTTTTGTTTTCTATAGACTTGTATTCTGCATCCCTGTAGTCTAGTTTAACGTGGTAACTTTTAATAGCATCTCCTCTATGTACACCTGAAGTCTTCCTGCATATGCCATTTCTGTGCCAAACTCTGGGCTTTTTTGTGTGTACTAATTCCCTCCCTGTAACCCCTACAGTATCCTCAGGTTCCTTTGCTTACTCCTTGAGCAACAGGAAGGATGTGGTGGAACAGGTTCAAAGCTATGAGTATTATGATAGGCCAAAGAGGGTGTTGAGGAGAGGTGTGGAAAATCAGCCTTTAGCTTTAGACTTTTGAGGTGCAGGAAGTAAAAAGAACATCCCCAAAACCAAACAAACAAAAAAAGAAAATGTTTAATCTTAGTAGGTAAGTTACCATTGAAAAATTAATATTTGTTGTGTGTTTTGTGTTTTTAATACAGTCACTGGGTTTGGTTCTTGTTCATGCCCACAGTCGTTGGATAGCAGAACCAGCTGCTCAAAACAGTACTGTAGAAAATGCAGTGGGATTGGATGAGAATGCACCAAAGAGAATTGAACCTAATGTTTCATTGTGGCAGTTCTACCTTTCTCGGTAGGTGACTTCACAGAAGAGAGGTGTGTTTCCTTGATTAGGGTGTATTCTCCAGTGCTGCCAATCTATGGTCCTAGGGTACACCACTTGTAAACTTGCAGATCTGATGAGTGTAGGATTTCTTGGAACCAGAGGTGACATTTTATAAGAAATATTTCAACATTATGCCAATTGTCCAGTGTCCTTGAAGTAATCAAGAACATGATCAGGAGCCAGCTGTCCTGTATGCATCAAAACGCTACTTTTTCCCTAGAGCACTGACACCTTTCAGAGCACACTGTAAAATAAATTTTCTGACTGCACTACAGTATTTATGCAGAGCTTTGGACCATTCACACACAAGCACAAAAGCCATGTCACTGTTGCTTTTCCTTGAGCTCAGCTAAAGTTAGCAGCACTTGTGGTTCCATATTACTTCTGAAAATTCAGAACCATGTGTTTTAGGGTTTTTCCCCCCCTCTTAGCTGTTCAGCTTGCATCATAGTAGTCATTATTGGTAGAGGATGATAATTGAAACTTTCTGCTTTATTGTTGGAAGATAGGTGTTAAATCAATTTAATGTAGCTCTTAGATAGTGAAATTTTTACCCTCATTTCTCTTACTGGGACTGCTTTTTAGCTAAGATTTAGTAAATATTTAATGACATCTAAAAATTCTTATGTTGTTAATAATACAAAGAATTATTTCCTTACCCTAACCTAGCATACTTGAACGTCCTGGTAGAAAATGTATTTTGAATGGAATTTCTGTAACTATAAATTATTATGAAATTATTACCCCTTCTAAAGCAAAGGGATGTCAGAATGCTGTTGTAAACAACAAGTTGTATATACCATATATTTACTTTTCGATTTGTCTGTTTTAGAATGGCCAGTATGGATATTGAACAAGTAATCACTCTTGGATTAGCCCTTCTCCTTGCTGTCAAATACATTTTCTTTGAGCAAGCAGAGACTGAATCCACACTCTCACTGAAGAATCCCATAACTTCTCCAGTGATTGTCCAGAAAAAGGTCCCTGAGAATTGTTGCAGGAAGCAATCTGGGCTTCTGAAAAACAATCAGAAATGCAACACAGTAGAAGAAGCTTTAGTTCTCAAAGATGGAAATGGTAATTCTTGCATTTTAAAGTCTGAACCTGTTCCTGAATCTCTGGAACCAATTGTGAAATCTGTATTACCGTGTTGTATTTGGAATCAAAACTTAAGAATTTTGCAAACCAAAGTTCATTTTAATTGTCTTTATGCAGCCAAAGTCATAAAACCTGTGTTAGTGGAGTCATCAACTAAGGCTACGTTTGTAGTTGGCAGTTGCAACCCTGTGGAAACTTCATTTGTTAATGGAAAAGAGGAAGAAATTGAATTACCTAAAGAACCACGTTCTGTTGAGGAATGTGTTCGTATACTTGGAAATGCAGAGGTATGGAAAAATAACTTGGGGGGTTTTTTAACCTCTACTGCAGCGTCTGATTTAAGAATTCTTACAGTCCTATTGATTGTAATGTCATTCTTCAGAAAACGACATGGCTTTAATAACATGGGTGGGGGGTTACAATGAAAACAAAACCGTTTCATAAGTCACTTCTGCAGTCAGTCAGGATAGGGGGCTGGGAGGGAAACACCTTCATCATTCATGACATATCAAGTCATTGAAGATTCATCATGTAAATGTAAAAGCAGGTATCTGAGTAAAAAGTTCTTGATTGTATCCTGGCTTACTACAAAACCTGACATTGGCAGTTAGTTCCTTTAGATGTACTTTGATAATGTCAAAGTAAAGTTATTACCCTTTTTCATTTGGAAATATTTAAAAGTATTTTCACCAAGAGAATCTCTACTTTCTCTCCTCACCCTTTACATTTGCAGAAAGGAGCAAAATTCCTTACTGATGCTGAGGTTATCAGCTTAGTTAATGCTAAGCACATTCCCGCATACAAACTGGAAACCCTGATGGAAACTCAAGAGCGAGGTGTGTCCATTCGCAGACAGATGTTATCCAAGAAACTCCCTGAACCTTCATCTTTGCAATATCTTCCTTATAGGAATTATAATTACTCTTTGGTAAGTAAAAGGCAGGCAAGCAAAACTCACTATAAAACCACTTTTCAAATACGTGAAATATGTGCTCAAAGTGATGTATATGAATTAACAATAAGCTTGGTCAAAACTAATGTAGAAGGAAAAAAAGGCAAACATAAGACACTACCTTTTATTGCTCTTGATGTTTTTAAACCTAGGGAGGTGGGTAAGTTTCATAGCTTACCCAAAAAATATTTCCTACTAAAGTATGCAGCTGTTTGATCTCGGAAATCTGTAACTTTATTAATATTGACCCTGAGTTCAGCTGGATGATGCTATTACCTTGAGCTCAAGTTAAAATAGAAGTTTATTTAAACATTTAACAGAAGGGTTTTTTAAATAGTATTTAAGACTTAATAAGATTCAATATGTTTGCCAAATACTAGACTTGAACAGTATTAGCTGTTGATAGCTGTAGCTGTTAACTTTTTGAGGTGGAATTGCCTGGTTTATGGATAGGGTGGTGGGGTTTTTGCTAAGTTACCTTGTTGTAGTGACAGGCATAGTATGTAATATGCTGTACTATATTTTTGTAGTGTAACCTTAATGATACCTCTTGTATTATTTTTGTAAGGTTATGGGAGCTTGCTGTGAAAATGTGATTGGATATATGCCTATTCCTGTAGGCGTAGCAGGACCACTATTTTTGGATAACAAAGAGTTTCAGGTGCCAATGGCAACAACAGAAGGATGTCTTGTAGCAAGCACAAACAGAGGATGTAGAGCAATATGTGTAAGTATTGTGTAAGACTAGCTTGAAAAACTTTACATGATGTATTATAAAACATATTCACTTTTAGTACTATTACTTTGTTTCCCTTCTGCTTTGATTTTCAGCTTGGTGGAGGAGCAAGTAGCCGCATTCTGGCAGATGGTATGACTCGAGGACCTGTTGTAAGGCTGCCTACTGCTTGCCAGGCTGCAGAAGTGAAAGTTTGGCTTGAAAGCCCTGAAGGCTTTAAAATAATGAAGGAAGCTTTTGACAGCACAAGTAGGTTAGTACAATAGCTATTCCAGCCTTATTTCCTGACATAAGACTTCTAGGGATGGTAGAAACCTCCTGATTGTGGGGTTTTTTGCATACTGCAATACAGGAAGTCACAAATTCATTTTGGCTATCCCATGTAGTGTGAATCTAAGACATCAAAAGTCACTCTGGCTGTGTACCAAGGCTAGTAATAAAGATTTTCCGGTGATAAGTGGTAAACAACGGTATCTTGGCAAAAAAGAGATTCACATTGCATAATACTTAATATGTTATTTATTTTGTCTTAAGTATTTAAAAATAAAAGCTTATTTGGATTTTTAGTAGCTACTATACAAAAAGTAATTCAAAATTTGGAATCTAGCCTTTCAGATGGTATTACTTACTGATGTTAATAATTAATCTGTGAGGTTCCAGAGAGTACAGGATAAACTAATGCTAGAACTGAAATGCTCAAAAATGTAAAACAGTATTAAGGATAAGTCTATTTCAAGCCCTAGAGTTATTCTAAGCTTTACGATTACCTGCTTTCTTTAGGAAGATTCTGAGAGAGACTTCCTTATCAGTTTTGTTTCTTACCAATCTTACAAGTGTCAGCCAAGGACAAAATGTCTTTTTCAGACAGAATCAGCTCATGCTGCTGTTCAAATGTGGCATTTCCTAGCTTTTGTTTGACTTGTGGACCTTGCAGTGTTGTTGAAGATAGCATGATTTATGCCTTGCTGTAAAACTGACATAAGAATTTCCAAAGGCCTCATTTTTACTTTATACCTGGTAGTTAGATGTTTTAAGGAATAGAAAATAATTAAATTGATGTTAACACTTCAGGATATTTTATTTCATGAAGTCCAGGGATAGAAAATGTAAAAAGGCAGTGAACACTTTTACAGTGAAAATTTTAGAAGTATTTAATTGAGAGGACTACATGCATGGTGGCTGAAGGTTTTTTTCATGGGCCAAGGGAGGAGGAACACAGTGTAGTTAACAGCGCTATCTGCAATGATTTGCTGTCATTTTGCCACTTAAACCTAATTTAATCTTTTCCCTTGAGAATTGTAAGTAATAGATAAATTTTCTTACAGGTTTGCCCGCCTACAAAAACTTCTCATCAGTTTGGCTGGTCGTAACCTCTATATCCGTTTTCAGTCTGGAACTGGGGATGCAATGGGCATGAATATGATTTCAAAAGTAAGGACTAGTCCCCTTAAGTTTTTCTAATAAATGTGCATTTCTTTTAAAAATAAATTATAGCCTGTCAATGTGTGAGGACCTGGCATGTGAAGACAGAAAGATAGCTGTTTGCAGTGCTATAAAATAATAGAAGTGTTTGACCTTGTGAAGTGTAAACAAGACTAGGATGAGAATGATGAAGAAAAAATGTAATTTTTGTATTTTTTCTTTATATTATTTAAATAAAGTGTTCTTAGTAATGTGGAAGTTAAGCTGGTTGCTCTGTTGCTTTGGGCCAGACATTTTATCCAGCAGTAATTAATCTGGTACTCTCTTTATCACTTCCTTGTAAGTAAAGGATTAGCAATCTTGTGAATGGCAGCAGAGGGGTGTTCCCTAGTTTTGTTTGTTTGTTTTTGTTTTTATGCAAACGTGAAAGAATCTGAGACACGACCCATAGACTGGGAGGATGCCTTGTGCTGTTTGAGATTAATACTGATTGCTTATTCTATATAAAATTTAAGTGTATCAGAACCATTCCTTAAATGGGTCTGTCATAGACAGGTACTAAATACAGCTGACCTTTTGTCTGATTTCCTAGTGTAGAGAAACTCTTTCCACTACATCCAAAATTAATTTATTTCATGCCTATAGTGTTTGACTTGGTTCATGTTGTATCTTCAGTATGGTAAGCATATGCCCATTCACCTAAAACAGATCCAGAGAGTCTACATGTACTGGGAAGAACCATTTTTTCCCCATATAACTCCCAAAATGGTTAGAAAAAAAGGCAGTGGTTTTTTGGGTTTTGGGGTTTTTTCCCCTGTTTCGGGTTCCTTCCTGAAATAATGTTATTTTCTTCAGCTGTTACTGATGATCTGATTATACTTAATCTAATTTTGCTGTTCCACTGTACTTGAGTAGCTTGTTTAGTTACTGTAATGATGTACAAGCTTTTTGTCTGTTGCTCCTCTAACAGGGTACTGAAAAAGCACTGGCAAGGTTGAGTGAAGAGTTTCCTGATCTCCAGGTTATAGCTATTAGTGGTAACTATTGTACAGACAAAAAACCTGCTGCTATAAACTGGATAGAAGGAAGAGGGAAGTCTGTTGTCTGCGAAGCAGTTATTCCAGCCAAGGTTGTTAGAGAAGTAAGTGTCTGCTTTCTTTCACTTGTTTATAAAAATGCATACATTTTACAAAGCTGATGCCTAACTGTAAGTTGTTTTCCAGGTAAGAATAATTCCTACATGTATTTTCAGGTACTGCGGTAGGATAAGCCATTTTTCTTGAGACAGTAGACATTTTTTTTTCCTTTCATTGTCTCTTCTCACATAATATGCATGTATTTAATGATGCATATCTAGTTGAAGGCATTAAGATTTTCACTTTTTACTTTTGAAAAATTATGCCACAGTTTGACAGATTTTTATACATCAGGTATCTGTCATTAAACCCAGTCATTTTGATAATTTCACTCATTTGTTGTCTCTCACACAAATGTGGCATTCTCTTCATGGTTTATATGCCTCCTACTGCAATGAAAACATGATCAGGAGCTTCACTTAATTCTGAAGCTGCCTTAGCGTCTTGCATGATGAAGGGTAACCTCTATAACCAGTGCCAGTCCTAGCCCCTGGCAAACTTGTCCTACATCATAAGAGCTATCTTAGATTCTCTTCCACCTGAGCTCTGAAGACCGTCTGTGTGTGTCAGACCAAATCCACTGCCTGTTACCTGGTCACCAGCACTGGCCATGAGAGACAATATCCAGGGAGTAGTTTATTACACCACACTCAGCATAGTCTTAACATCAATTTTTCAAGATTATCTGAATTGGTGCTTGTGGATTTGATGGAGTTTGGTTTTTTTTTATTTCCTCACAGTAATTTGTCCAGTCCCTTTTGTGAAACTATGAAAACTTTTAGCACTAGTATTTCAGGCAGAATTCCACAGCCCAGCTACACCTTGTGTTGAGAACTACGTCCTCCTTGTTGATTCCATTTGATGATGCCTTAGTTTTGTAGTGGAAGAGATACTTAAGAGTTTTTTCTTCATTCTACTGCTCAAGATTTTATAGCTCTAACACAGCCCTTCCACCTTCCCAGCTATTCTCAATTTCAGCCTGACAAGTACTAGTTTCTGTATGAGAAATGAGTAGAAAGACTATTCTCGCATGTCTTTGAACATCTTTATCTCTAGATCTTTTTCAGTTCTAAAATTCTGGGTACAGAGTTGGACACAGTATTCAAAGTGAGTGTGCAGGCTTGATTTATACATTGACATAATTTAAGTCTTGTGGGTTTGCCTCCTAGTAGTTTCCTAATTTTCAAATTGTTTGCATTTTTACAGCTGATTCAGTGTCAATATCCATAATAACCCCAAGATTTAATTCCAGAGTAGCAAAGGGGTGCCAATTGTTTGTTAATGGGCAAGGAGAGCTTTTAGGTAAATTAGGGATGTTTTTCCCCAACCACGTACATCACTACATTTGCTTACATTGAACTCTGATACACGAAGTTCAAAATTTTTGTCAGTGTTGTGCAGATCTCTGTCATCAGTTACTATTCCTGCTACACTGGAATATCTTAAATTATGTTCACAGCACTGTCTTTTTTGTTCTCTTTGATAATTTTGATACTAAAATCACTGTAGATCTCTTATCTGAAGGTTTCAAAATACAGTCAGTATAGCATAAGTGTGCCACTTAATTTGATATTACTGTGCACAATGTTTATTTACCGATGTAGCATGGTGGTTTGTGTTTGAAATCTTCAGTTTAGGTCTGTATTCTTACACAGAGCAAAATTGGGGAGGGTTTGGTGTCTGGAGCAACTTGGGAGGAATGTTGGTATCATGTCAAGGTGAATTAATGGAATATTTCTGACAAGTTGACTTTGTTTCATTCAGAAGATAGATGAGAACTTGAAACAGAGAAGGTAGCTGGTGAGCTTTTCTTAAAGGCCTGTGACAGTCTGAACCATTCACACTGATTTTTCCAGTGTTACTTGGACAATGCAGTCTGCTTTTGAAAGTGCTCCTTTTGAACAAAAAAAAGTAGGTATCTAGGGCAATGATTGAGTCAAATTCTGTATGGAAGCAAACAAGGGCTGAGGGCTTATTAATCATAAATAGAGTATTTCTACTCCTGCCTAAGAATCATATAGTAAAAGTGTATTACTTTGTCTAGGTATTGAAGACAACTACAGAAGATTTAGTAGAAGTCAATATAAACAAAAATTTGGTGGGTTCTGCAATGGCTGGTAGCATAGGTGGCTACAATGCACACGCAGCAAACATCGTGACAGCTATCTACATTGCCTGTGGTCAGGTAGGTTTGTTTTTCACCAGTTCAGGTTTTCTTTAGTTCAGTAATGCTTAACCACTTAGTTGAGTGTTTCGTTTTTGTTTTGTTTCTCCTTCCTGATCTGAAGGATGCTGCGCAGAATGTGGGCAGCTCTAATTGCATTACTTTGATGGAGCGAACTGGTTCCACCAACGAAGACCTGTACATCAGCTGCACAATGCCTTCTATAGAAATAGGAACTGTTGGTGGAGGTACCAACTTGCTCCCGCAGCAGGCCTGTTTGCAGGTACAAATGAGAAAGTTTAAAGCAACTAGCTTCCTAAATCAAAGCTCGCTTTCATATTGTGTATATTGTGTTTGAGTATTGTTGTGGGAATGGGGCCTCTTGAAACTTGGTAGATTTGATGTAAAAATTTTAGAATTATCTAATTGTTTTCATGTATATAGTTTCTAAAGCTTAAGATGTTTAATATTAAAGACACTTAGAGCTAGTTGATCAGATATAATTTGGAAAGACTTACTTTAATAGTAAATTCAGCATAAATTTACTTAGATATCATACCATAAGATTGCATATTATTCTCTTCAGATGTTAGGGGTTCAAGGTGCAAGCCAAGAAAACCCTGGTGAAAATGCCCGTCAGCTTGCTAAAATTGTTTGTGCTACGGTGATGGCAGGGGAATTATCGCTAATGGCAGCTCTTGCAGCTGGTCATCTAGTCAAAAGCCACATGATCCACAACAGGTAAGAAATGGAAAAATTAATGTCTTTATCTGGTATTTTGCTCTTCTTCCAAGTACACAAGATTAATTCATAATTAGATGAATAATTGCAACATATAATAGCAGTGGAACTTTTAAAATATCTAATGTAGTTATTGTTTCTATTAGGTCAAAAATAAATCTACAAGATCTTCAAGGAACCTGCACTAAGAAGGCAGCTTGAATACGTGGAAATTAAGAATTGTTCTAGCAACTGACCAGGTGCACAGGGGGAAAAAAAAATTGTGAAGTTTAGAATGAAAATCACCTTCAACTCAGTGATGTCTGTATAAGATAAACTGAGAGATCAATGGACTTATGAGACTAGTTACACCTTTGACCTCCTTCAGTGGTTAGAGATGACTACATGAAAGAAGTCCTGTCAGACATCTTCAACATTAATTTGGAATTGTTACTCCTACAGATCATTTTCTAAAGGGTCAGTCTTATGTTTTTGCAGGTTGCAATTATTTTGACTAGTAAGCTTCTGGTAACTACCAAGCTGAAAAGTGATGTGATGTAATGTACTTTGTATATTAAAAAAAAAAAGAAAGTTGGTCTAAACTTGGCTTGAATGCACTGGCCCTTGCTATCCTTATTTGCTGTGATGGCAAGCCTAATCACTTTCCTTGAACTCTCAGTTTTAATTTTGTTCACATGTAAAACTTAGGTCTTAGGCTATAAGATACTTTGATTAGATCGTATTAGTTTTAGAGAAACCTCTGTCTGTACATAGTTCTTAATTTGCTGCTGCTTTAGCTAAGCAGCATTCAATGTTTTAACTCCACAATTTTAGTTATTTCTCTACAGAAGACTTGTAATCTATGACATTCTGAACTGTTAAATATAATCTGTACTGAAGTAGGGAAAAACAGTGTCTTCAACTGTTTTGTTGTCGTCTTCAGGTAGAAAAAACAGTTTTTGAAACTGTTAACTCCAAAAACGGTTACGTGTCCGACACGTTAGCAATTTAAACAAATGCAGTTTCTCAAACGTTTTTTTGATAGGAGTGCATTCAAACAACAGGAGTCAAGAACAGATGTTTACACTTCTTTTAAAAGATGTCTCTTAAGGTACAGTGTCTTTGTATATTCTTAATTATTATTTTATTTTAAGTGTTTGACACTTATTCCCTGGGAATAGGTGTGTATCCACTGCTTAAGCTGAGATAAAATGAAGCCAGAAAATCACACTGTTCCTTAACACTAGGGGATTTTTATGTTTTAATTCCTTCTAAACTTTCTTTTTGAGGGGGAATTATTTATTTTAAGAAGAAATCTTATCCTTTTTTCAATGAAAAGTACTAATTAAGGGGATTCAGTGAAATGACATGTTATTACAACAAGCAGCTTTTGTATTAGAATAATGTACTTGGACCAGTGAAGCAGTCTCAGGTGTTCTTAATGTAATACAGAAAACCCAGGTGTATTCTGGTTTGATTCACCTTTGGGAATATTGCTAAAGGCATCGCCCTGCCCAGTTAATCACAGGAGGAAATTGTTAATATGCTTGATGATGGTTTGTAGGTTTTTTTTTGTTTGTTTGGTATGGGTTTGCTTGGGGGTTCTTTTGGGGGGTGGGATCAGTGGATTGGACTGGGTTTCTTACAGGAATGAAGCAGCATTCCTAAAGGGGTGACTAGCAGAAGTGCTCTTCTAATGTGTAAATTTTATATAAATCATTATGGTTTTTTTTTTTTTAGTACATCAACACATTAATATAATTGTAGCGAGCTCATAAAGCTAATGTGTAAGCATGAAGACATACTACATGCTAGATATATTATGACAGCATGTAAATATCATGAATGTTTATCTTCCTGCGGTATTGTTGCTAACAGCTACCATTTTATTTAAGGAAAGTTGGAACTACTTTGTTTCTATGTTCATTCAGTGATCTTATTTAAAGTAACACTGTTCTGGCAATAAATGGTAGTTCAGTGTTCATTTTGGTGGATTTAACTGACATTCTGTCTTGCAGAATTAACATTTTGTATTATTACTAAATTGTGTACATTTTGGTACAGAACTACTTTTTCAGTTTCAGTAAAACAGTGGAAAATGTATTGGCTTAATTGTGATATTTTAAGCTTACTTCATGTCTTAGTGACATTCCTTAGTAGACAACATAAAATAAGAGGGTTAAGGGAAATATAACTGGCGTACAGTGCTAAACACAGCGGGGCTGTGACACTGGAACTTCTCAACCTTGTTTGCAGAAGTCTGTACTTATTCGTTCTTCTCAAATCTGAATTATGCTGTTTGCCCAAGTGGGAGAACGAATTCACTGCAGCATTAGCAATACCTTCTGCTGGGTCATATTTGGGCGTTTCTCCTCTCTTCCAGAAAACTGTTGAATTATACTTGTGGCAGTTTCTCACATGTCTGCCAAAACTGAAGTTTCAAAGGTGCTTTTTAATCTGTTAACTTACTACCTGAATTTTAAACACTGCTTTCACCAGGAAAATGTAGTTTTATCAAAATACACAGTACTGTATATTCTCGCAAGACAGGTTAAGCTGGAAGAATAAAAGAACCCATCAGTGCCACACTTACTGAAGGGCTCTTGTTTCCCGGCATACATACTGAAAATTTTGTGTAGCAAGATTGCTTTGGCACAGGAAACAGTCTTGTAACGTCTGATTTGAGTCCTTAGCAAAACCAAACCAGCTGTCTGTAATCAAGTCTCTAAAGCTGCTGCAACTTAAATGCTATACTACTACAATTGACAGAGTTCTGCAACTATTTTAAAACCTTAGATAAAATAAAAATAATAAAAAGACTGTATTTGAATCTGGTAACTAGTTTGCTTCAATCTTTACCTACATTACTTCCTTTCTTCACTGTGTCCTGCAATACACAAGTCCCCTTCCTGGTGTCTGACATTAAAGTTTCAGAGCTGTGAGGCTTGGAAACTGTGTAGCTGTCTCTAATTACACAATTGTTGTCCACTTGGATTTCTCTCAGCCAGAATACCATGGCAATCAGTGAAGTGTGCCTTACCTACTCTTCCTGACAGAAGGAGCAACTTCTGCTTGCACAGCGCAGGGGTGCAAACCATGTTCGTGCCAAAGGTGGTGGATGAGATAGGGGTGTGCCAGCAAGGGCCCCAGCACAGGCACTGCTGAGTAGGCACACCACTTCCCTGAAGAGAGCATGCTTGAGAGCCTGCTTGCTTTCTCATAGGAGCATTCAGGTGTACGTGGGCTCTGGGTGTGTGTATGCACAGCACTGTTTGGACAATTCTCATCGTTGGTGTGAACCCTGCTCAGGAGGTGCATACAGCTCTGAGAAAAGAGGTGGTAGATGGTCTGTCCTCCCACTACTTTCAGCTGCTTTTTGGGGTGGGGTGAGGGCTCTTAGTGCTTTTAAAATACATCATCATCTCCACCTCTTCTGGGACATAACTTACCATTCCTGAGGTTGTGTCCTTTTACCTCTCTCCCTTTGGCTTTAGTTAGGGAAGGTTTACACTGCACAGTGACACCTGCTGAAACAAGGAGATGATGGCTTGGGCTCCAGCCCATGTCTTTGTTACAGCAACAGTTCTCTGCTCCACAGGTCTTCTCTCTTGCCTTGGGGGAAGCTTGAATCCCTGGCAGAGGCATCTTGCCTTACACACAGGGCAATTACAGTGCTGTGCGTCTAGCGAAACTCCTAGCACTGACAGTTCCGTACCTTGTCTTCCTGCCTTGAGATTACTGCTGGCCCCAGGGTCACCTGGCTGTAGCAGCCCCTCGGAGGAGGTCTGCCTCTGAAGCTAACCTTATCTCTACGGCGCTCTAGTGCTTTTGCAGTCTATTACACAATGCAAAATTACCTCCTGTCCCACCTTCACCGCTGGTTTATATTCACTCTGCTTCTTAATCCACCCAGGGGAACAATATGGGCTTTAGCCCCAGCTTTCATAGGTTCTTCCCCCACTACAGAACCCAGCAGCATTCCT